ATTTGCAACTATGTTAGGGTTCTTTCTGCTTTCTTATAATTTGCTTTTGTCCTGGACCCAGGTGATGGAATATGAATATGAAGCTGACATGGAAGAGACCTACCGCACGAGCATGTTTAAAACCTTCAAAAAGACCTTGGATGATGGCTTCTTCCCATTCATTATTCTTGATGCCATCAATGACAGAGTGCGGCACTTTGAACAGTTCTGGAGTGCAGCAAAAACAAAGGGTTTTGAGGTAACGGGGTCAAGAAGTATTCATACTCAATAGCATCTGTAAACCAGTGTTTCCAAACTTTTCAAAGCTGTGTCCTCTATAGATGAAAAGAAACCTGTGAAAGCCATCTTTGAGGCCACCTATTATGTGGTAGTATAAGGGCTTACTAATTTTCATAGGTACATCTTCAGCATCTGTAACCCTTCCACTCAGATACTTTGTGGAAAAACTGCCATAACACCTGTTGTTAACATCCTGGTGAACTTGCTGGTTTCCTAGTATATTTTCAGTGTTTAATATTGAGTTTCTCTTTCTAGGTATATCTAGCTGAAATGAGTGCAGATAACCAGACTTGTTCCAAGAGGAATATTCATGGACGCAAGCTGAAGGAGATCAATAGGGTAACTGTATAAAGCTGTGGAATCACAGGGGTTACTGAAGTTACCTTTCTTTCAGCATTCAGGCCCTTTAATATTGGTAAAAGTTTATTTTTTTATAACAAATGTAGTCCAAAGTTTGGTTTGGTTTCCTTTTAAGATGGGCCCATTTTCCCAGTGGTTCTTGCTGATTGCACTCTTGAACACAGAACCCTCCATTCTTCCTTTGTGTTGGGTTGTAGAAGATGCTTTATTTTGTATGTCCCTCTCTTTAGATGTCTGATCACTGGGAAACTGCACCACGTCACATGATGCGTTTGGATATTCGTTCTCTGTTACAAGATGCTGCTATTGAAGAGGTGAGATTTGCTGTAATTGAGTGCAGTGAAAGTGTATGTTTGTATTTATATTGCAAATGTAAATTGCAGAAAGTTCTAGTCATTACATGTTAGGAAGCAGTAGTATATTTGGAACTGTACCAAAGTAAATGCTGGTTGAATCAGCAGTGCATCACATTACCTCATGACTCACCCAGACAAGAAAGAACATGAAGTATTTAACTGTTCCTCCTGTGGAGCCTATACTTATGTCTCTTTGGGCTATTGTTAAGAACTTCGCTCTCCCCAGCTGTTGTCTGCTTATTTAAGAGCACTGTTGCCCTCTCAGAGGAGGTGCCGGGGGTTATTTCTGCTCTACATCTGATTGATTAATCAGGTCAGAAACCAGAAAAAGGTTATGAAGTTTCTTAAACCCATTGCTACCTCTGGGTCTGCTTTGTAAAGTCCAGAGATCTTGTCACAGAAAATAAAGGTATAAAAGCATATTATGTGGCTAGAGAAGAACGCTTTGAGAGAAATGTCTGTTATGCTGTGTTCCCAGCAGAGTCTGCTTTAACGTAGCTTTATTGGGTTAACTTTTGTAATGGTCTTAGACAGGTGTTTTACTACACCGAGAGACATAAGAATAGTTTGGTGCACAAACTGTATATTTTGAGTATAACACAGTTGCATGTGATGTCACAGCAGCTCTTGTTATAGCCCTAGTCACTTGGGCTGCCAAAGAAAGAAAACAAGATTTATTTGTTTCAACTTCTTGAGAACTCAAGGTGTCTTACAAACCGTGAGGTCAGCAATGCATTTTACAGTCTACAGTTACTAAAGCTCTTGAAACTACTAATTTCAGAGGACCAAAAGTCAGCTCTCAAGAAGAGTCAGATCAAATGTGGAATGTATTTAATTTAATTTGTGCATTCCATTTTCATTAAAGGCATGAGGAGTTATGAACAGATTGAGTAAATTTATATATACTTTGGTGTGTGTATATGAAATCAGCAGAGAGAGGTCATAGGAAGCAATACATGGGCAGAGTTGATTATGGGTGTGAAATCATCCTGTACCTGAAAATACTGATCCTTATTATTTTTCAAGGTCTCTGTCCATGTAGTATCTACATATACCTTAAGATATAGGCTTGGTAGAGACATGTTGGCTACTAGAGAATGGGTTCTTGCCATATGGTGTATAAGTTCTAAATTTGGGATCCTTTTTGAGACTTTGAGTATTAATATACATTTTGAAACGTGTGTTTGTATGTAACATGAGAGAGGTATTTTACTGATAGGATCCATTAGCAAAACGTGTGGAGAACAATAAGCTATTACTGTGACTTTCCTACACCAAATTCATTTTTTTCTGAATCAAGAAGAGAATCTGAAATGAAAATACTTCTGTGGCAGGGGGAGTGGCATTTGTGTCAATACCAATATATTTGTTTGTTCTCTTCCATGTTCTATTTTCTGAGTTCCTGGGGTCTTTTCTGTGAAGTACATAATACTTTATCAAACAGTGCATCCGAATCCTTTGTTTTTGTTTTGGACCAGGTGGAAATGGAAGATTTTGATGCAAATATTGAAGACCAGAAAGAAGAAAATAAGAAAGATGCTGCAGAGGAAGAGGAGAGTGAACTGGTAGGAGACTTGACAGCCATGTCTAACAAACTGTCTTTTCTTAAAATGCCTACAAAAAAGTCTAATTGCTGGGTACAGCAGATAATTGAGGTTACTAACAATGTGATGTTAATGCACATGTTTTTAGGGATTGGTTTCTTGTGTGTATCTGAGAGAACTTTAGCACCAATGCTCTTGCTCTGTTATTTTTAACTGATTTTAAAAATCCGTGAATATATTTGCTATAGGAACAGTATTCTCGCTGGAGTATAGTGACATGCCCTGGCACATTTACAAGCTATAGCTCATTGAGTCTATTTATCAAGAATATTCAGGTTTGAAAATTCTAAGGTGGAGAAAAGGAAAAACCTATACTTCCTGTTACTTCTGGATTATCTGATGTAAATACCAAATCCTATAGAAACCGTGAATGGGATCAAAGGTTTATGCAAACTTGGTTTACTTCAGCTTGCATTTGACTAAGCAGTTCTTTGTGGCTATAGAAGTTTCTGATACTGCTTTACCTCTTAGGAAGGCTTGGTATGAAACATATATGTTCTGGTAAGATGCACTGGCTTTGGTTATTAATAGCAATTGATTATTCAGAGTTGAGCAGGCATATCATTTAGATTACTGAAGGCTGAAAAATTGGGGTTAGGCCTGGCTTTTTATTCCTTAAAGACTTAAAAGGCCACTACGGTTGCTTATAACATAGATGCAATTCCTTCGGGTCTGAGCTGCATCTTCTCAATGTTGGACGAACTGTGCATGCCAAAAACCTGGCTTCCACCACAGGAGAGCTAAGTTGCAATAAAAAGGAAGCAATGTTGTATGTGATGCACACCGAAGCCTCTTTCCTGGCAAAAACTTGCTATTCCTTAGGAATGGAATAAGGTAGAGACAGGAAATACAAAGTTAAAGACTAAATCTTAAGCTGAGTGGATTTTAATAAACATTTTTTTTTTCAATATGACTCATTTATTCTCTTTAATAACTTATTCTTTGAACAGAGAATAAGACTAGGTACAGTGTGGTCAAGAGTTATACCTAGCAGCACTTTCCATGCTTTCAGGAACAAGGCAGCTATCCTTTTATTGCCTGGAAGTAGGTAACACTTAAAATAGACAGCTGTGTTTTTAGTTTTTTGAGGGTAAATTCTCTCTCTCTTTCTCTCTGTTTGCGTTTGACTTGTGTTCTAATGTTCAATAGACACAACTACATACGACATTTGTATAAAACTATGAGGAAACTTTGATGGTTAAAATTAAAGAAATTATTATTAAATTAAAATAACAACCCATATATGGAAATGTTTTCCATTTGGGAGTACGAGGAAAAAAAAGCAGAGTTATCTGCTGCAGGTCATCTCTTCTGTTCATTGGTATGGCCAATGGCAGAAGCAGGTATGCCAGACTAGTACAGAAAGGTGAAACAATTCACTGAATTTGATGTCTTTTGTCATCTTGAGAGCAGTTGGTGGGTCTTTTGCATTATTTTTTTTTACATTTCTTTAAAGTCTTTGGAAAAGATGTCAGAACTTCTGCCAATTGACTAATGTCCCTCGGAGAAATCCAACTGTTTTGTACCAAAGGATGGAATCTGAATCTTTATTTTCCTCTAACTGAAGAAGGGGGTGCTGTGCAGAGTCAGCACCCAGTACACAGGACATTAAATTCACCCCATGACAGTCATTTCTTTGTTGATATATCAGCTATAGGGTTCTTTATATAGTTCAGATAAAAACAATTTTTTTTCTTTCTGTGCTTAAAGATATAAAGTATTGACTTCTTAAATTTAGGGTTCTTGTCAGTATGGTGCTAAAATCAGCATATATAGCACAGAGGTCCATAAAAAGTTGTACTAAAATGTTTAATGTAAAAGTTCCTATTAATTACAGTGTAACATTGCAGCACAGACTGACTACATTCATATAAAATATATATCTAATTTAAAAGTTGTCTATAGTACATTAAAATATGTAATCTGTAATAAACTAAAAATCACTCTTACAACGCTAAAATTATGATGGGATAAAAGGTAGAATTTTACAAAAATTTTGGAAGAGTAGTACATATCACTAACAAATAGACAACAACAAGGTAGTATTCCGGAGTGATATAATCTAATCTACTAGTCTTCATCATGTACAATGCAAGTTATATGCAAATCTCCTGAGACCCAGACAATAAATAAAATAGAAGTGGAGTTAATATAATCAATATGGACTATGAATTGCAACAAAGGGGTCAGCACCCCTGTAAAACATTTCAGCAAATCATAATTCTTATATGGTCTCTGATGCAGGATGCATTTCAGTATGTTGAGGGGAAAGGGGATTACATATGTGAACCTTCTTTGAACAGGTAATGTTATACTAAATTTAGCAGTTTGAAACAACAACATATAAGAGTATAGATAAATAATATAAATAAACCCTCATTAAGCAATGTCTCTATAAAATGAAAGAACATAATCAAATGGGTACTTGCACAATTTAAAAGTATTGCTTTGTTTTGCATGGAATAAACTCTAGGTATTTTATTATATATAAAATGCATTATTTTAGTTCAGGGTGTAGGTTGTAGCCATGTTGGTCTAAGGACGTAGACAGGCAAGGTTCTTTTGGGTAAATCTGATTTCTTTTACTAGACTGACTAAATAGTTAGAAAAAATTTTCTTAGCAAGCTTTCAGGTTTAAAAATCCTTCATCAGGCTGAGGAAGCATCTGCAGTTGGGAAGAGCACACACCAGTTGCCGATGCTTTCTCAGCCTGACGAAGGAATTTTAAACCCAAAAGCTTGCTAAAAATTTTTTTCTAAATGTTTAGTTGGTCTAATAAAATATATCAGATTTTCCCAGAGAACCTTATTTTAGTTCAGTTACTTAGATAGTTGTAGAACATTAATTATAACAATGTTTGAATTATGATAAAAACTCTCATTTAAAACATACCAATGTATTAGTGCTTAAATCTCAGTGATTAAACCAACTAGCTAATTTTAACTAGTAAAGATTCACTTTTAACTATTTAGTTCAGTACTCCATTAATTTATATCCTAAATTCTTGTATGTTCCTTTAATATAAGTATAAGTGAGGGAAATCTGGAGGTACCAAATTATTTTGGAAATAGATTCTTGAGCAAATTGCTACACATAGTATTTTTTGCAGTTGTATTTTTAGAGTAGTTGGGTATTTGTATCACATGATCAGTTGTCTTTCAAATTTATGGCCCTCGGGGCAAGGTAGCCTGACAAATCTGTGTACATAGTTTAGTACCGTTGCTGTATGCTAAACTTATTCTAGAGTTCTTTTTGTAGTGGGAAGCATTCTTGTAACAATGCACAAGAGCAGCTAAAAGCAATGAATAGAAAATGGGTATGGAAGTACTGAATGACCTGTTTCATTTTGCTGATAACTGAGAACTGTACTTTATCAAAAAAATAATTTAAACTCCCATTATAATGCTGTTTCCAGTTCAAAAGTAATATGAATGTGTGTGTGTCTCTAATCCTCCGAGCTTCTTTCTGTGTATGATTTAGGGTTACATTCCGAAAAGCAAATGGGAGATGGACACTTCTGAGGCAAAACTAGGTGGGTATTTCCTTTTTTTATAATTGGTATCTGGCTGTATTTGTATAATGTTAATTTGCTGTGCCCCCTTGCCTATACTGTTTATCAGATATATCTGAATCCATAAAAAAAAATTCTCTTCCCTGTAAACAGCAGTTTCTGTCTTCTGTGCCGACATTTCCATACTGATGTTCTTCCAGTTTTTTGAAGAAAATAGTTTGTCTAAAAAAAAAGCAGTATCTTCGTTCTTCATTCATTTCCTCTTATAAACAAAGGCAATGGTGTCAGTTTACATTACACCACATTCTTATGCACACGACATATGTTATTTTCTTATGCATACATTTTCAATATGGAAGGGCCTGTTTTACCACATTATTGTTGTCCTGCTGGCTATAGGAGTGGTTTACTGGTGTACCCTTCTGCTTGAGTCTTCATACTGTTTTCCTAATGCACTGCAAAGAGTTTAAGGGATAGAGACATGTACACTAGACCTTGTCATATTTCTGTCCTCCTTTGTAGTTTTTTAAGCCATGAAGAAAATACAGGTAATTTAATAATCAAGGAGGGGATGTTCTTCTTTGAGAACATTTTGTCTCCTTGGAAATATGTTTTGTAGGAAACAGTATCGGAGAGATTTCTATTTTCAAAAATTGTCATGTCAGCTGGACAGCACAAGTTGGTTTTGAATTATCTAGTCATCAATACATGTATTCAAAGACTTAGATGTGTATAAATTATAGTCATCTGCTCAGCTGAAATTCCTTGAGAATTCTGAGACCTTTTCATAGCTTGGATCCAGAAGGAGGTGATTTTAACTGCACTTTTATTCATATTAATGCTGCTGTATTGTAAGATATTGCCCGTTATATTCATAATTTCGATAAAAATGAACAAGAAGGTATTGGATGAAGTGCGTTCTCTACAGCCAGGTGAGAGAATATGTATGTATGCAAAGGCATCTCTGTTAATATACAATTTTTGAGTAGCAGTGTTTCTTTCAGAAGTGGTACTGAACTGGGTTGTTGAAATAACCTGCTTAAAATGATTACTGTCAATCACCTTTGTGATAAAATTATAAATGCTTGAAAGGGGATGTAAAATGTAGATTTCAAAGAAACCCCATGTAGCAGTTTAACTTTCTGGTGTGTTGGTATGGAAGATAGGCTCTGTATTCCTGCTTTCAAATCACAACTGCACCATGGAATTGAAGCTAGAGGATCCTTTTTACATAAAGTAGCCTTTCATCTGTTGCTGTTTAATTGCTTTGCTGAACCATTTCTTCTACTGCTGTATTTCTTTGATGAGCCATTTCATTCCTGATGGAACTGTCTTGACTTCCTAATACATCTGGTGCAGCAGGAGGAGCCTTGTGCTTTGTGTAAGGCATATCAAACAGCCAAGCAGTTAAAGGAAAAAAAAACACCCAGGGGGTCGAGTTCATTTTTGCTGTAGAGCTCATAATCATAGTCTATAAAACTAATTCCTTAGGTCTTGTCATAATAACTTTTAAAAATAAATGTTTGAAATCGTTTCTTGGTATAGAATATTGTGCACATGGTTAAAAGCATGATCTGCTTCTGCTTATTGTTTTATACTTTAAATAAAATTACTTTCTTGTTGATATGTGTGTGACAGGAATGGAAATGTCACACTGCATACAGTGAGTATTTATAATGTTACTTCACCCAGTGTATATTGCAAATATTGAACACAAAACCCAAAAATGTGTATGGTACATATTAAATATTTACCTTCATTATATATATATATATATATATATATATCATCCCTCACTGGGATGCAGCAAAAACTAGCAGATTTAAAAAAAAAAAAAAGATATATCTCAAATATCACTAAAATTTTAAGCAAAATTATACTTTTGAAAATATGCTTCGCAAATCATAAATCCAAACTATAAAAAGATGCAGAGGTCCTCACCAGTTAACCTAAGTATATGCAACTATAAATATATAATAAACTGCAGTGTCAGACTTCTAACAAAATGACTTTATTAGCCATTAACTTTGACAGTAGCTGTGCAGTCAACTTGTGTAACTAGCTCCAATCAGGAACTCAGTTACTAGAAAGGGCACCAACATTCCACAGGTCTCGGATCCAGTTGCCAAGAGGTCTCACCCCAAAACAGACTGAACCTATATCCAAAACATTTTCCATATAAGTAGCCTCTACATCAACAGTTCTCTTTCAGTGAAAATCTATCAAAAAGAAAAACATACAATAAAAAGGTGTCATGCTGTTAATATAGCTCTAATTCCCATGGTAATGGATGATGTTTCCTACAGCGTTGCCACATTTTCAGCCACAACAGTAGTTAACAAAACTTTGCATGCTGAGACTTAGAATGGTTATATGCGAGTCATCCTAGGATTTCCAGAGTAATGCTTCTATTTCTTGGCTGTTCTTAGTTCTATGGGTCCATTTCAGTTGTGATTTTTTTAAAAGTGTGTACTGAATGGTATGTAATATATGTATAGGTATATATGTGTGTATCACAAATGTGCTCAGCAGGACGACTTCTCCCAGAAAATAACCAAAATATATAAAAAAAAAAAAAAAAATAAATGCATATACATTTTACATTTTGGTTATTTCTTAGAAGTTGTCCTGTCTAGTACATTTGCAACTTTATCCTAGCAAATAGGCTTATTACAGGGGTGTAAAGGTTTGAAGACAGAATCTGTTCTTTGATGGATTAGTTCACCTAAACTTCTTTGCAGTTACATATCCTGTTGTGCTTTCTATTTTTTATTTATATTTCTCAGTATATATTATTCTGAATAAAGTACAACATGATTTTATTGGCCATGATGTGTGAGAGAAGTTCTGAAATGTTGAGCTTTTTGACTGAATGTTTGTGACAGTCACCAAGCACACTGAAAACTCGTTGCCCCAGGATTTTTGCTTTAGCTCTCAAATATTTACTCTGTTTAGTATTCGTCTTCTGAATACTTGGTGCCTACATACTGTTTCACATTTTCTTGATGTGCTCTAAATACATTCAGAACAGTACTTCTGATTGAAGTATAACCATTGCAATCTCAGTATTCCCCTTTATACTTGTATACCACTTTCTTCCATTTTTCAGTTTACAGAAATGGACAAAGCCTTCTGTTTTGACAAAGGTAAAATTGCCTCTCTCGAGTATAAATAGTGCCTTTCAAGGTGTGGTTTAATAGTGCGTTCTTAAAATCTCACAGAAGAGGAAATATCCCTTGTTATATCTGAAATTTCATTGCCAAAGTTCAACTTTGCTTTAGGATGCAAATAACGTCACTCAGGCTATTAATTATTATTACTCAGGCTATTAATTATTATTATTCAAAACATGAAAATTACAACCTTTTATTTGAAGAACAAAAAGTTGTTTACTAGTTTCAAATGCTTCTATAATAAAAATAATGAATGAAGGTGGGTTTTCAAGAGGTTTTACAGATTTATAAGGATGCTGCTATATGTTATATTCAAAACTGTAAATGGCAAAATTCTTGAAGTGTAATGCTAATAACTATTTCCTTCCATAATCATGACACAGGCTTCATATTACAAACTTGTCTGTTACAAATTTGTTATAAACTTGGGTACAAAACATTTCACAACATGTTACACACAATCACAGGCTTCATATTACAACCTTGAGACACCTTGGCTCATGACAAATAGCCCATCTGAAATAATGTGCCAAGTGTGGTAGGTCCTTTGAGGATGTCATAAGATGTCTGCTTTTGGCACATCTAGATGCACCTTGAAGCACCACAGTATGGATGGAAAGCAGATCTCCTGGAAATGTATCTGACTTCAAATACAAAAGGAAATCACACTTGAAAATCAACCTTTTTAAATGATAATTAAATCCAGAACAGAAGGCCCTGTCCTTAATTCCCTTTTTAGATCGGAGTTCACAAATTTTCAGGCACAGTTTGCAACTCTTGTAGTACACAAGCAAAGGGAGAGTTTGCTCTTTCAAACTGAAAAGTCTTATTCCCAGAGGAAAAGAACCCGTATGCAAGTGCCTCAATGGAGAGCTGCACCTTTCTGTTTAAAAAGAGGTTTAATGTTCATAAATTTGTATGTTGCTCTCTTCACTGCTGTTTACTTCAGAGACCATTGTAGTAGGAATGGTCCTTGTTGATTATGTTGTGAATAACGTTAGATATTTTGGAAGTCCTTTTCTGCATGAGCAATACATATTTAAAAAAAACACAAAAACTGCATCTGGAGTTTTTCCTGGAGGGAGGTGGTAGTTCTCTATGGAGTTGTTGTCCAGCTTTAGCATGGTTAACTTAAAATAAAAATAACAAAATTAAAATGAGTGCTGGAACAATTAGTCAAGAAAGCAGATTGCCATTGTCCTGTTTTGATTTTTATCTTGGTACCATTGAGGAGGGCATTCCAAAATGCTTTGCTTGGATGAAAAAGATTCTTCAGGGGTAAAACGATACTTGAATGTTTTTAAAATTGAATGCCAGGAATCAATTAACTGAGTTTAAGTTTTCCTTCAGTGTGCAAAAGTCACCCGTATCCCTTGGTCTTCCATGACCTTCACTGCTACTCTGCTATATTCTATTTTAAGTAAAGCAAACCTTATCTCTAAACTGAACCTCTTTGGATGCACATTTTAGATGGTAATCTTTTGCTGCCCAGCAACTAGGATGTGTTATATTTGAATTCATTTCATAGGTCTTTTGGTGGCTACTTTTAATAACATTTAGTGACTTCTGAGTTGGTATCACTGACACGACGAGCATCAGTTTACAGCGAATACCAAATAACCTTAAAAATTCCCTCTACACATACTTTAATGTAGCTTTATTGAAGCAGTGAGTAAACACCAACAGAAAAGGGCACTGGACTTCTGGAGACTGCCAAAAAGTTTAATGATAATTCATTGAGGAAAAGGCCAAAAAGGGAGAGTTCTTATAACCCAATGAATGGGGTCGTTGTTTCATCTCAAGTTGGTCACTCTGGTTCAATAAGCAACAGATAACAACTGTGACCATCAGACAAACTTCTAAAGCATTCATTTGTGACTGGCATCACTCACCATAAAGAAATCCTGAGCCTTTCTCCAGTCTTAAGGTTTTTCTTCCATAAAAGCAGTTTCTCAAAAATTGCTTAACACGGGATCTTTAGTAGGTTTAATTATTTGGTCACTATGGAGTCCTTGATACAATATGTTAAGTTAGGTTTGACACAATATTATACCTAATACTTGGAAAGACATTTGTAATGTTAATGTTGTGTTTAAGTGACAAAATAGATGGCACTGCATAGTTCCTTAAGTAGCTTTGAGTTGCTGTATTGTTCCTTCTGAGCATGGGCTCTTAAGTGATGTGAAAATCCAGGAAGATAAGTTTTTCTCCCTTATATACCTACTCAGTGTTACTGCTATAAAATTAATGTGAAAGATAAATAAAAGTTTGAAATGGGGGTGAGTCTTCTCTAGTTTTTCACCTCTGATCATTCACCCATCAAGATAACTTGGATGTGCCAGTTCTGCTGCTCTGAGATACAGAAAGTGCTCCCTCTCTCATCTTGTTTGTGTCACTATTACACAAATTTTCTCTCTTAACCCTGAGGCTCTATGTTTGTTCTCAGACAAGCTGGATGGTTTGCGGACTGGCGCTAAGAGGAAACGTGATTGGGAAGCAATTGCCAGCAGGATGGAGGATTATCTTCAGCTTCCAGATGATTATGACACCCGTGCTTCTGAACCTGGCAAAAAGAGGGTAATAAACTCCAATAATGGCTTCATCTTTCTAATGGACTGATTTGGCAATCTTCATGGAACACAGCCTTTACCATTATTAATTTTCCCTGAATATAATACTGCCAGAGACGCCTTGCATTCATTTGCTATGCCATTAGGTTGTATCAGAATGTGTTTGAGAACAAGGTCTTCCAGGCATGTGGATTTGTCATGATAAAAAAGGCATTGAAAACTGCAAAGCTTAATAGTGTGTGTCATAGAATTTGAGAGCAGAGAGAGACTAAAAATTCACATTTTTTAGGAGAAGCAATGGAGGGTGAATGTTCTGTGTTTTGTGTATGCTTTATGGAGGGACAAAAGTTTTGATAAATAGTTAGGGTTGTGTTGGAAGAGGCTAGTACATTTGTTCTGTTAAGGTTTGTCTAATATTTTTATAATTTAGGCTTCAGAAGAAACAGCACAGTTTTTAAAAATTCAGAAAGGTTCAGTTTAAGGATGAAGTAACAAATGAAATATTTCAAGCATCTTTGAAGCACTTCAAAGAGCCTCCTGTACAAAAGTAAATGCACTTTGAAATGTCCTCAAAGCAGCTGAAGCACTCCAAAATAGTACCCCTTGGGGAGAAAATACTGTTTTAAAGCATTTCAGTTTCCGTTACTTGTGCACAAACACAGAAGACCCATAGGTCCTCCAGAATCCCATAGAGCTCCAGGACAAATTGGAGTGGAAAAGCGGGAGGCTTAAGACTAGCTTGCAGGCTACACAGCTGCTGAGCCCTCCTGCACTAGAATAATATGAGACTACAGTTAGGGCTTTTCAGAAGGGATGGGAAAAATGGGATGGTCACATTATTGCTTGGTTATATGTTAAAACTAGAAAGTTGTTTGCTTTTGAGGTGAGTTGGTAGTTAGTTTGGGGTTGTGAGGGATAAATTGAGGTTGGTTTGGGTATTAACATTAGACTTCCTGGTGACAGATATCTTTAATGCAGTGATTCTCAGCTGAGTTGTTGCGGCACCCTGGGGTGCCACAAGACAACTCAGGAACGCTGTACTGGAGGAGCTACTGCCACTACCACTGTGGCAGCCATGTAAAACTGCCTTAAATGCAGGTCTGTGGCATGCATGCACACTCCTCCTGCATTAGGGTTCTTTGATACCACCAAAGCAGGCAGGAGAGTTTGTTTGTGCTGTAACCATTCCCAGTTTGCCTCTTCTCCTCCTTTGTCTCACTTCATAGTTTCATAGATTAAGGGTCGGAAGGGACCTAGTAGATCTTCTAGCCCGACCCCCCGCCAGGGCGGGAGAACAACAAAAACCCCAAAAACAAGAAACGGGACTCAAATGAGTCCAGCCAGGTAGGCATCCAGCCTCTTCTTAAAGACCCCCAGGGTAGGGGCCAGCACCACTTCCCTTGGAAGTTGGTTCCAGCTCCTAGCCGCCCTAACTGTGAAGTAGTTCTTGCGGATGTCCAATCTATACCTCCTCTCCATCA